AACTCACATGTAAGTGGCAATAGCTATTTAATTGTTTATAAGCAACAATCAACAGGGCAGAAATCATATCTATTGCTGAACACGTAGCCTTTTTGTAGACTTTATTTTTTTTTCTGATACTTCTGAGGTCATGATCTTAGGAAAAAAATCTACCATCACTTTGCTGGTCCAGTGTAATTCTTTACTACATTTTAAATCTCATCTTTATACCCACAGATAGGTATTGCTACCACCTCTCATAAAAAGAAGGCTCTCTTTAGAGCAACAGGAGACCATCACACAAAACCACAACTAAACACAGTGCAAAGGTCAAAGGATCATTGGGAGCTTATCCTCAGTGCATCCCTCTACATTGTAGCTCCTGTATGTATGGCTTGGGGGACATCAAGAAAGATGGCTCACAAAGATTACATTAGCTGAAATACAAGGAAATCTTTTGTGAAACAGTCTCTCTTCAAAATAACTGCATAAAAATTACAAAGCAATATTACTAACAATGGACATATTAACATGGAATGGGGAGAACTTGTAGGGTCTCAACCCGAGACAGGAACTACAGGCAACTTATGATGTAATTCTATTTCAGTGAGAACAGATTATTAAGATTAAATTTTAGAATAATGCAGTATTTGCTGTGGGATATCTCTCTGTATGCTGTGAATATGTGTTGCTCTGACTGGTTGATAAATAAAGCTGTTTGGCCAATGGGGAGGCAGAATAAGGTTAGGCAGGACATGGTACATTCCAACTAGAGAAAAAGGAAGAAAAAAGGCAGAGCTGGGAAACACTGCTAGCTGCCACCAAGAGAATCAAGATGTAAACCAGTAAGCGAAAAGCCATGTGGCAAAATATAGATTTATAAAAATGGGTTAAATTAAGATGTAAGAGCAAGCTAGTGAGAAGCCTGTGCCATTAGGCCATCTAGTTTGAAACTGATTTAAGACCCTGTGTGTTTATTTGGTTCTGAGCAGCTGCAGGACAGGGTGGGACACAGGAAAACTTCAAGCTACAAGTATTCTTAAGTGTGAAAAATGCTTCTCTTGAAATGGGGAAAGCAAAAAAAAAGTTCTTAAAATAGCTTATAGATATATAAAGGATAAATAATTGGAATTTTATGTATCATTATGTGGTACCTGTTAGATCAACAAATTCAATATCAGTAAAACCTAATGTGTAGCATAAATCTGTAGATGTAACCAACCTTCTTATTAAATAAGAAACACAGAACCAATGCAAAGAAGAAAGCCAAGAGTTCAGAGCTAAGAGCTAAAACCTTACCCTTCCTCCTGCGGTGGTCCTACCTCTCCAAACCAGAGCTACCCCTGTGTTAAAGTCTTTATATAGAGTTCCTGTTCTGCCTTCTCATTGGTTGTAAACCCAACCACATGACTGCCTCCTCATGGCCTGTCTGTATAGGCCTCCAGGTTTTCCATGATTGGTATTGATTAAAGGCATGTGTATCCAATAATGACTGTATCCCTGAACACACAGAGACTTACCCAGCTCTGCCTACCAAGTGCTGGGATTACAAGAGTATGCCTCCACTGCCCTGCTTTCCTATGGCTTGCTAATAGCTCTGACCCCCAGGCAACTTTATTAACATAAAAATAACATTTTAATACAAATAAAATATCACCATATTTCCCCTTTTCTATTTTAATAAAAAGAAAAAAAAAAGAAAAAAAGGGGGGAAGTGCTGTGGGATGTTCTGTGTGGCAAATGTGTTGCTGATTAGTCAATAAATAAAACACTGATTGGCCATTGGCTAGGCAGGAAGTGTAGGTGGGACAAGGAGGAGAATAAAGCTGGGAAGTGGAAGGCTGAGTCAGAGAGACACTGCCAGCCACCACGATGAGAAACAGCATGTGAAGATGCCGGTAAGCCACGAGCCATGTGGCAAGGTATAGATTAATGGAAATGGATTAATTTAAGCTGTAAGAACAGTTAGCAAGAAGCCCGCCACGGCCATACAGTTTGTAACCAATATAAGTCTCTGTGTTTACTTGGTCGGGTTTGAGCAGCTGTGGGACTGGCAGGTGAGAGAGATTTGTCCTGACTGTGGACCAGGCAGGAAAACTCAAGCTACATAAATCTTAAAAGTTCTTATTAACAAAATCAAACCTGAGCCAGGTATTGGGGTGAACTGGAAGATCAGAGAACCAGAACAAGCCACAGCTACCTCATTTTGCTGGATCCTCAGCTGTTCTTGTTTCCTCAGACTGGAGGCCTCTGAGTCCTCATCCAGAATGAATCTGAGCTGAACTGTGCTGCTCCAAAGCCTGAAAGCTTGACCAGGCCAAATGCTTAAGCAGACAAATGCTTCTAGTTTCTGGTCCTCACGCTTTATATACCTTTCTGCTTTCTATCACCACTCCCTGAGATTAAAGGCTCATTTCTGGGATTAAAGGCGTGTGTCAGGATGCCTGGCCGTTTCCAATGTGACCTTGAACTCACAGAGATCCAGAGGGATTTCTACCTCTGGAGTGCTAGGATTAAAGGTGTGAGTGCTACCATTTTCTAGCCATTATATCTAGTGGCTGTCTGTTCTCTAACCCCAGATAAATTTATTAGGGTACACAATATTTTGGGGAACACAATACCACCACACTACTGCCTTACTCACATTCTGTTTTCACTGAGTGTGAGCTGAGAGTGATCATTTTATTTCATTTCAGGCCTCAGACTGCCATCCTGCTTCACCTGGCAAACAGAGCAGTGATAACATCCAACATTGTCATGTCCCTCTGCCCCAGGATGTTTGTCTAAGTATTTGTTCAAACTTAGAAATCACACACTAGGATTGTGTCTTTCCACAGACAGTGGCTATGCATCATTGCCTGGAAAACTCTCCTTTTCATTCTCTGTGAATAAGAAAATCAAGTATGTTATATGTGTAAGATCTAAGATAGAAGCCATGTCCATGATAATAATTTATGTCCAAAGCAATTTTGTAAACTGACTTGGCCAAGCTATTATAGCTTGCCACGTGTAAGAATAAAGGAGAAAAAAGAAGTAAGGAAGGGAATAAGGAATGAAGAAAAAGAGAGAGGGAAATAAGGAAGGAAGGAGGGAGGGAGGGAGGGAAGGAAGGAAGGAGGGAAGGAAGGAAGGAGGGAGGGAAGGAGGGAAGGAGGGAAGGAAGGAAGGAAAGTTAAATGCTTGCATTGTTGGAAAAAGTACTTGAAAATAAGGCTATAAACTACAGAATCAAAGGCATTATATGTTTCCCTTTTTGTTTTACTTTTTTGTCCCTTGTAGTAACAGAGTAAGGTGTAAAAAAGCTTTATAGCAATTTTTGTCTCATTAATCATAGTATACAATATAGTAACTATTTGTTCTATATATTCCATAGTATAAATCATGATTTTAATGAATTATTTAGTTTTAAAAAATTGAGTCTCAGAAATTATGCATCATTATCATAAATGGCATGGCATTTTAAATATGTAAACGTAATGGATGGCCAAATAGAGCTAATTGACGTGCATTAAAGTGGTAGGGTTTCTAATTGTCTTTTTCATAATATTTGACTATTGGATTTTTATTGATCATGAGTTGAAACCTTTACACAAAGAAAATATACTCCCATTGTTAAAAGAAGCTGTGACAATGCTGTAAAATTCAGAAAAACAATACAACATCTAAATAGAGAAATAGTGTTAATAGTACATATTTTCTTAGGTAAACACAGAAAAGATCACATTTGTATGAAGAGGGAAATATTCTGCATTTTAATTTATTTAAAACTGATCAGGCAAGTAACTACAAAATGATTAAATCATGATTCCTCTAAAACCATGAATGAAACCGCCCATCCTTGGTGGTTCTAATTCTGTGGAACACAGAAACAATCCTTGTAAATACATCGGAAAATGAATTAAGTACTAACTGGTGTTAAATGTAACACTCAAAAGAAAACTGGATGAAGCATGAGTGAGAGGCATCATTTTCTCTAAGGGACACAGTTACAGAAAAGAAATAGGTGAGAATCATTCCATTATCCCAGAAGGTAAAGCAATTCTCACCTGTTGTAAATCTACAATGAGATAAATATCAGAATGGAAGTAATGCTCATAACAACATCATCACAGATACTAAATATCTAAAAATGGTCCAGCAGATGCACTTGCTAAAATAAGTCACAAAATCTTATATGACAATTGTATACTATAAAAACTGTGATAGCATAAATTTATAGTTATAGTTTACCTCATATTTTATGCATTTATATTAATTTTTAGCTAACAAATTATCATGATAGTACATTAACATATTGTTAGCAATTTTAATTCACTTTAATAGCATAAGTATGATTATACAATTGTAATAGACTGAAGCATTTGTTGTGTAATATTTTGATCCTGTTCTGACAAATACAGCATGCTTGAAGTCAGAGGGCAGTACTAGCACTAGCTGACCAAAATTCACCACAGAGGTTTTGGGGAATTGAAGACAGATAGGACAGGAAATAGTCAGGGAGGGCAGAGAGGGATCTTGGCCCTTTTGGAGGAAGGAATGCAGCAGGTAGGAGAAGACTCCTGGCCTCTTTGCTTCTCTAATCTTTCAGGCTCTTATCCTGATATCTGACTCCCAAATTTTTATTGATTAAAGAATAATCAGATTAATGCTTTATCTATTATCATAACACTAAGCATGATTTTCTTTAAAATTTAAAGACAGGTAATTTTTTAAATCCGTAATAATCTGCTTCCTAAAGATCAATAGTATTTGGAGATGTTTTTACTTTTTGTAGCGTTAATATATGACATGGTATATTTTTTTATTTTATTTTATGCGTTATTATTATCCTTTAGAAGCCTGTGCTGTTTGCTAATGAGAGATAAAAAGAGAGTGGATTCAGATGGGAGGAGAGATAAAGAGGAACTGGGAGGAGTAGCGGGAAAGGAAACCATAATCATGATATATTTTGGGAGAGAAAAATACGACATGGTAACTTTTTAGAAACATTTGTAAATATGTTTAGCACATAGCTGACATACTTTTTGGGAATCGAGGTGGGTTGTCATTGACGTCAGTGAGGGTAATATTGACAATTGTTGTTCCAGCAAGGCCACCGAGTTGTCCACCCATGTCCTTCGCTTGAATGAGGACCTGGTACTGCTCTTTGACTTCTCTGTCCATGTTTGGCAATGCTGTTCTAATGACACCTTTGGGGGAAAGTGATAACAGAGAATCAATATCACAAACAGAATGCTTCCCCTGACCCCATCAGACTGAAACAGAAGAAAGTAGTTATGTCCAGATTTATTAGCAATGGCACATTAAATAAAATACTCTATCAAAATTTAAATAACCTAACTACCCTAAAGTTGGAATGTGACTTTTATTTTTTGGATTTTTACAGCCAGATCTTAAAATATAGTTATGAGGAAAACAAAAAAGGTTACAGTGTACCTCAACATCAAGGTCAACTCTCCCCAAGTAAACTAAGTTAGGCCTCATTTACATATTCAAGTCTATGCTGAGATGAAAAAGAATGTTAATACTTTTAGATTAAATTGTACACATGGAATAATTTAGGTAATTAAACTGAATTGGGTGTATAATTCCAAAGACTATTATTATCATATCCATTCTTTAGTTTACAATAAAAAATTCACTTATCTTAAAAATACATAAACTATGTCATTTACATAATGTGTCTGTTTTGTCTTCCTGGAGTTTCCCTAACTATTTTCACTGAAGATTTTCATCCCTTCCCACGCCCTTAGCTGTCATCAGATGTAATCATTGTGGGGTTTTGAGACTCCTTCCATCAAGGCAATCCACTGTCCAAGATAGTGTCTTATATTTAAAACTCTCAGTATGTGGTTGAATAAATGAATGACTGAGTGATGAAAGTCATCTTACAGTTTTCAATCTTATATCACATATGCATATTTACATATAGCAGTCATTTCCATTCTTGTATCCAGGTATAGGAACTATTTTATATTTCTATTTATTCATAGTAAAAATGTAAGACTTTCAGAATCCTATGGAAATTGAATTATAAATTTTATTCCAATTCCAATAGGTAGTCAAGAGTATTAACAGGTAGAGATTGAAGAACCTTTACTTTAAGCACATGTGATTTTGATGGTGGTAAGTTATATCTTAAATAGAAAAGCATGTATGAATAATAAAAAATCGGCCATCAATACAGTACAGAGCATTCAAACCAGTAGCCCAGCATACATCCATATATCTGTGCTTGCTACCATCTACTTACCCATTGCTATATTTTTGCTAATGCATATTGAACTGCAATCAGATTTCATCTGGCACTTGGCAGGAAATAGTTACAGAAAAGACATCCATCATTTTTGGTCCTAATGCTTTATTCATGAATTGGTACTGACACCATTTTGATTCAATCTGTCTTCTCTTCAGTACAGGCTTCTGATGCTTTATTATCAAGGTTTCGAAAACTAAGACTTTTAAAGCCCACATCTCAGTGTTGGTGTCTTACATACCTTACATCTGTGGCATCTATCTGATGGGCAATGGTCACGTTTTCTAGATAAATGCCTGGTTTTGACACTTGCTATTTGCTGTCTCATCATATAATTGACCGTGTATGATTTTTACTCAATTCACTATATAAACAGTCCTTTATTTTCAATGGACATATAACTTTTGCTCTTCATCATTTATTTCTCTACCTTATGCATCTCCCAGGATGAAAATTGTACATAGCAGAGAGAAAAGAAAAGGAATGGGGAAAGAAGATGGGGGTGAGGGAGAAGGAGAGAGAAAGAAAGAGAACAAAAGAGATAAGGGATATTATTCTAGGGCACATTATCAGTAGCTCACTTCCTTCTATTAATAATGCTAGACTTCAGGTCATTGTAGATGAATATATTTATGATGTCCAATTTCTTGTTAATATATTTAACAGAATAAGTTTTCTGTTATTGGCCACAATCAGATCATATATTATAAATAAATGTGTCTAAAAAAATTATTAGGTGCTGTACAAGTATCTCGGGGGGAAAATTGCTTGTCATTCACTTGTCATAGGATTGGGTTATTGGGTATTTACAGAACTGTTGGGTGAGTATGGTAGACCACTTGTAATTCCAACACTTAAATAGGGAAGAGAGAGAAGATTTACAGAGTACGCTGGCTAAATAGGACTTTTGAATCAGTGAACCTCTCATTCAATTTAGAGACCCTGCCTCCATACTTAATGTGGAGAGGAACCAATAGAGTCATACCATGTGGACCTCTGGGCTCCACATGCACACACAAAAATACATGTGCTCATATCATACACATATACAGTTGCTAAAATAATAACAGTAACTAAACAAAGCATAGATCATTTTTTCTATTTTCTATATAGCACATCCAATAATGTCAAACTCAAACTGTGATGAAATACTCACTTATAATTGTATTAAGTATTTAATACTTTAGAGAGAATGTTCGTACCTGTTAATCTGTTCTGATCCTCTTTTTTTACCATGTGGATTCCAGAGATTCAATTCAGGTTCTTAGGGTGGGCTTGAGAGCAAGCACCTTTAGCTACTAAGTCTCCTTGCTAGTATTTTCCCATTTAGTTTACAAGGAACAACTGCAATCGCTTATGTATATGTATGTACAAATGAAAATGAGACCAAAATTCTTTTTTCCTATGACTCAGTTTAGTCATTGATAGCTCTTTCCTCACAGAGAAAAAGAAATTACTTTTTTCTACATGACAGTTCTACCACTTCCTGAGTACATGTATATCTCACGTAGAAATATTTTCTTTAATTTATTTTCTTCATTGATTTGATGTGTGTGTGTGTGTGTGTGTGTGTGTGTGTGTGTGTATGTGTGTGTGTGTGTATGTATGTATGTGAAAGCATGTGTATATATGCATGTGTGTGTGCAAGACACAGCTTGTATGTGATGGTCAGAGGACAAAATTGTGGAGTTAGTTCTCTTTGTCCACCATTTGTCCTTTGGGAATTGAACTCAAGTTGTAAGCCATAATACCAAAGGTCCATAATTGCTGACCTATATCACTCACTCGGTATTTTCCTTTCAAGATTGAACACGTCATGGCCATTCTGTTGACATTTGTATCTCATCATTCATTTAACAAATTCATCAATTTATTCAGTGTGTGTGTGTGTGTGTGTGTGTGTGTGTGTGTGTGTGTGTGTGTGTGTGTGGTGTTAGCATGCGTTGGTGTGCATATTCATTTATGTAGTAGTGTACGTAAAAATCACTTTGTGTATATGAGGGGGGCAGAATACCACCTTGAGTGTCTTTCTCAGGAGGTATCTTTCATATTTTTTGAAACAAGTGTCTATCCAGGACCTAGAGATTCCTGACAGCTCAGCAAGCCCAAGCAGTTGCCATCCAGCTTTGTATAACAAGCATACATCACTGCACTTGGCATTTTGTGTAGGGTATAGATATGAAACTCAGGTCTCCAAGCTTGAGCAGAGAGAAATTCCTGAGTGTTCTTTTCCCTCAGGCCCTGCATACCATCATTTCTAAAACTGTGACCTTTTTGAACTCTTGAGTTCTCTTGAAATCTGAAGTTGGAGAATTGAAGCAAATAATATTGTTTTGTATCCATGGTCATATACTGCACATGTTACAAAACAATGACACAATATGCAGCTTTCTCTTAATGGTTGATATTTTCCTTGACAAATTGTTCTTCTTAATATACATTTACTTCCATTGATTTTTTTTGCACTTGTGTGTTTATAATCAATAATGTCTTAATGTTTCATGTCAGTTCATTCATTCAGATAAATGTACAAAAGAGTGACTACTTTGTATAGGTAAAACTTTAATTTTGTCATTAAAGGAAATAAAATATCATTTACCTTACCAGCATTAACTTAGATATACGAGTTCTGTAAGACTGTATTCTGAACTTATACCAAGATAATTTTCAATCAATAAGGCCTCATAAGTACTCATATAATATTTAAAGCATTGCCTCAATACATACTGTGTGACCTTTGTTGGAACTTTAGTGTGGGACCTTAAAATAATTAACACATTTTAAGCCTGAAAGTTACCTTATCAATATCTATCTTTATAATTGTTGACAAATGGTATTTTCATCCCTGAGAAGCTCTTCTTACAAGGAATGACAATGAATGTGGAGATTCAGGGTTCCTTAATATTGTGAGAACAAGTAATACTTGAGTGCTCATCTATAAACAAAACAGCTACATGATCTCTGGAGTTCAGTCCATACCACAGAGGACAGAACAGAAAAAATTTAAGAACTAGAGGATCAGAAGAAGGACAGTGAAATGCTATCTCCAGGGCATGACACAGCTTTACCATCATGGACTCCAAGCAATTGATGTTGTCTATACTGGGTCTGCATAAAACTACCAATCAGTTGAATCTGATATACTCCTACCACACCCCATCTGGCTGAACTATTGGCTATTGGGAGATTATTAGGGAGTCATTATCTTCAGGTTTTTTTTTTTGTTGTTTTTTTTTTGTTTGTTTGTTTTATTTTTTTTGCCTTCTACGGAGATCACTCAGCTCCAATAGATTGTTTCAAACCCAGGGCTACAAAGATGCCTGGTTGACTAAATCACAAAAGAAAACAAAGAGTTTAATATGGAAAAAGAAAGACATGTAAGGAGGCAGGAGGGGTGACTGGATGGGAGGGAGATAGTAGAGCGTGGAGGGTGAAAGCAATCAGAGTACATTTTATACATATACAAAATAGTCAAAAATCAGATTTAATAAAGTTGTAAAAAAGGAATAGAGATGAGATATACTATGGAGGTAAGTTTTACTTTGGACACAGGCTTGAGATTTTTGCTACTAAATACAGGGATATATTCACTTGCAAGTTTCTTGAGAATTTCTCCATAACTGGGCAATCTTTATCAGATTTCTTCATATGAATTCAGAGGTTGGAAAGATTGCATAGTTTTTAGTATAAACAGTAGAAAAAGGAAAAAATCAAGTAGATTCTATAGTTACATTCTTACTACTTATGATGATTTCAATAAATCAGCAGAAGAGAAAAATTATAAGGGACGCATTTAAATAAAATAACCGTATCATAAAATATTTGACCAAAAAGTTCTGGAGACAGTTTATGGTAGTGGTTATGGACATAAAGGATTTAATGCTGGAAAATTGCATATGACATGGTTAAAATGGTAAATTTTATATTACATGT